TTTTATAAGTGCATACTAAATCCATGCTTCCACCCCAATCCATGTATTAAATACTGATTAGTTTACATGCATAGACTTGTCAGCTAATCCCCCTAAAAGGACTTGGAGAACTGAGAAAACATCTGGGATTCATTAGATGCTAATGAATTGGTGAAGGCCCAGTCAAAACTAAGTTGAGGGATTATGTTAGTCAACTTTTTGTCACTGTGACCAAAATATCTGGCAGGAACAACTTAGAGAAGAGATGATATATTTTGGCTTATGGTTTCAGAGGATTCGATCCATGGCCAGCTGGCTCGATTTCTTTGGGCCTGAGATGAAGTGGCACATCATGGTGGAAGGCATGGCCGAGGAAAGCTGCTCACCTCATGGCAACCAGGAAACAAGAGGGGGGAGGGGAGAAGACACACTACTAGTGACCTAACTTCTCCAACTAGGTCCCACCTCCTGGTAGTCCATCCAACTATGGATGAATCCACTGATGAGGTCAGAGTGCACATGACCTATCATTGCCCAAAAGCCCCACCTTTGAGCCTTGCTGCATTGGGGATTATGTTTTCACCATATGAGCTTTTGGGTGCATTGTAGATCCAAACTATAACAGGAATGTTTGCATCCTTCCTATGACCAAAGAAAGCCATAGAACACAGGAGTATGGGCTTTGACAACATGAATCTGCTGTGTGATCTTGGGCAAGTTTTTTGACCTCTCTAACTCTCATAGGATTGTTATAAAGATCAGATGAGTCCAGGTATGTGAACTGCTTAGCATTGTGAGGGTACCATAGATGTCAGTATTACAGCAGCCACAGATTTTACCCCTACCCCAAGTCACCTTTCAGTGACTAGGAGTCCTTTCTTGGAATATTAGGACCAGGCCCAACTATCTCACTTTGTTAGCTTTTTACTTCCCTCTCTTTAATATATATATCTACAATAGAACATTTTCTAGACTATAAATTCCTTCACTTTGAAGGCTTTAAACCTTTTTTTCCCCATAATAAAAGAAAATTTCATTAGTAGCTAAGATAGAATGACATTGAATTAGAGACTCTTCCTGAGTTGTAAGAGATATAATAAAAACATTTTTTTCTCTCTTGCTAGTTATTTAATAATATGGGCATGCCATGCTTTAACAGTTTACCTCTGTCTCATATTAAGGCATAGGTTGACTGAGCCATTTACTGATTGCTCTTTATGTGCAAAGCATTCTTCAGTAGCCTGGGAACACAGCAGTGAACAAAACTGATAAGGCTCTGCCCCCTTGAAGTTTTCATTCTCTTGGACAAATACAGGCAGAAAAATATGTAAATATGTAAGGTGGTTTCAGATAAGTGCAGTGAATAAAAAGTAGACTAGTAGAAAGTGCCTTGGTTTTGGAAAGTGTTCAACTTGAATTTGAGCTAATCCTCTTTTTTATTAATTTTTTAATCCTTAATGAGAAGTGGAGCCAGCTGCTAAAGCACTATTGTTATGTTGGTAGATTGCCTAAAAAATCGACTGCTAAAAAAACTGGTCTCTTAGTGAATTTTTCCCTTTGCATTTGACACATCCCATTTGCCCAAGGTAAACATGGCTGATTTAGCAAGGAGATATTAGTCCTTGTTGTTCAGTCTTTTTACTTTGATGATACTAAAATTAACATTTTAAATGTTGTATTGTTTAGGCAATGTACACCTGGCATGAAAAGTTTAGAAAAAATAAAGAGTACACCAGAATTCTACCACATAGCCCAGGAATTGGTGAATTATGCATGTAGACCAAATATAGCCTACCACCTGTTTTTTTTTTTTTTTTGCTTTGTTTTGGTAATATTTTTATTAAATTCTAGCCTATGGTAAAAGGCATAAATCTAAGTGTACACCTGATGAATGTTTGCAGATGCACACACCTCCCAGGTCAGGATGGAGAATGTTGCCAGCGTTCCATAAGCCTCCCCCAGGCCCAACCCATCACCATCTACATTCAGTTCTGAATCCTTCACCACAGATTGATTTTATTTATTTTGGAAATTCATATAAATGGAACCATACAATATTTACTAATTTTTAAGTCTGGCTTCTTTCACCTGGCAGCCTAAAATTTCAGTATTATGGTTGCATGTAGCAATAGCTTGTTCTTACTATGTGAATGCCCTGGAATTTGTTTATTGACTGATTGTTCCCATCTTGGAGGCTTATTCATAAAACTGTTCTGAACGTTCTTTTGTCTTTTAATAGATCTGTTCTCATTTCCATTGGACATATACACAGAGGTGAAAATGCTAGGTTATAAGGTACAGTGTGGTTAAACGGGTTTTTAAGGTAGATGCACTATTTTATATTCCCTTCCACTTAATATGAGTTTCAGTTCCATGTTTTTGACAGTACTTGATACTGACAGGTTTTTTTCTTAAGTAATGTTCATTGAGGTATAATTTTTATAGAATAAAATCTGCCCTATTTAGTTGAACAATTCTATAAATTTAGACAAATGCATAGATGTATAACCACTACCAAAATTCAAGATATAGAATATTTCCACCACCACCCCCAGAAAGTGTCCTCACGTCCCTTTGTATTCATCCCCCTCCTCCAGCCCTCAGGACCTGGCCAGCACTGATTTGATTTCTGTCCCTGTAGTTTTGCGTTTAGTACAGTGTCATATAGATTGTATCATAAAAGTGTAGCTTTTGGAGCCTGCTTCTCTCATTGAGATTCATGCATTGTTGCTTGTATATTATCAAGTAGTTTCTTTTTTTGTTGCTGAGTACTTTGTCCTCTCACCGGTTGAAGCACATTTGGGCTCTTTCCAGCTTTGGGCAATTACAAATAAAACCACAATAAACGTTCACATACTGGATTTTGTGTGGACGTAAGTTTTCTTTTCCTTTTGGAAAATATGTAAGTGTAGGATAGCTAGTTCACATGGTATGTGTACATGTAGTTTGTATGAAGCTTCCAGTCTGTTTTCCAGAGTACCTGCAACTCTGCTATTTGGTTGACTTTTCAGTTGCTCTTCATTCTTACTAGTGCTGATTTAATATTTTATATATACATATATATATATAATATATATATAAAATCACTACCCAACTATATATATATATTTTTTTTTTTTAATTTCAGCCATTCATTCTAGTAGATATGTGGCATCTATCTCATCTTAGTTGTAATATGCATTTTCCAATGACTATTGAAGTTAAGCACTTTTTAATGTGGGTTTTGGCCACTTAGAGAGCCTTTTTTTACACTATGTTTATTATCATTAGCCCATTTTTGTATTGATTATCTGAGCTTTTCTGAGTGGAAGGAGTTCTCTCTGTGTTCTGGACACAACAAATTCTTTGTCAGATATATATGAATTGCAAATTTCCTCCTCTATTTGCCACCTGCTTTGAAAATAGGTTTTTTGTTTATTTATTTATTTTTATGTGGTGCTGAGCATCGAACCCAGGGTCACACACATACGAGGCAAGTGTTCTACTGCTGAGCCACAACCCCAGCCCCGAAAATAGTTTATTTTTAATATTTATTTTTTAGTTGTAGTTGTCAATACCTTTATTTTTTATTTATTTTTATGTGGTGCTGAGGATCGAACCCAGGGCTGCACATGCACTAGGCAAGTGATCTACCGCTGAGCCACAACCCCAGCCCCTGAAAATAGTTTTATTAGAACCCAGCCACACATTTGTTTGTGGATTTTTTGTAGCTGTTTTTCACTACACAGGTAGAGTTGAGTAGTTGTAATCCATATTTGGAGACCCACAAAGCCTAAAATATGAAGTGTCTTATTCTTTTTTTTTTTAAGTTGGACACAATACCTTTATTTTATTTATTTATTTTTATGTGGTGCTGAGGATCGAATACAGTGCCTCACACATGCTAGGCAAGTGCTCTACCACTGAGCCACAACCCCAGCCTCCCCCCCCACCCCCCACCCCTGTGTCTGATTCTTTATAGAGCAAATTTGTTAACTTTGGATCTAGGTAACTGCATCCATTTTCTTTTATTACATAATAAATTATCACAAAATTAGAAGCTTAAAATAATACACACATTTATTGTAAATGTCCATGGTTAAGGAGGCTGGGGACACACTCACTGGGTCCTCTGCATAGGGTCACACAGGCTGCAATCAAGGTGTTGGTCAGGGCTGGGCCCTCATCTGGAGGCCTAGCTGTGGATGGGTTGGCATCCAGGCTCATTCCATTTGCTGGCAGGATGCATTTTCTATGGATGTGAGAATGACAGCCATAGTATTTTACTGGCTCCAGGTTAGAGTCCCTCCAGCTCCTAAGGAAGCATGGCCCTCTCTGTGAGAAGGTCACTCATGGCAGCTAGTTTATCCAAAGCCAGCGGAAGAGTCACTAGGGAGTCTGCTAGTAAGATGGAGGCTTATATAACATAAGAAAAATTTCAGGACTGCCATTCCCTGACTGTCACCACACTCTTGGCTAGAAGCAAGTCACAGGTCCTACTCAAATTGGAGGGAAAGGGATTACACAGTGGCATGTATGTATGATAAGAGGCAGAGGTCATAGGGGTCACCTTAGATCTGTCCACAATAACTATTAGTAATTTATTGCTAAGTGGAAATATTGCTGTCTAAGGGGACAGATGTTTGTCCTGTTCTTATGTATTTGGATACTGTTTTAAGCAGAAATGAGATCATACAGCCTTTTTTGTAACTGGCTTATATAGCAAAGTCATGTGTAATATAACATGAAAATTTCTTCAGGTCAGTAAGTCTGGATTCACATCATCCCTTATAATGACTACATTGTATCCCATTGTATGACTATACCATAATTTACTGAATTAATTCATTCAGTTAGATATGGAAGTTGTAGTCTATGCACATCTTACTAGGCTATTATAGAAGTATAGATGAATGCCCATTTCCCCATGCTGCTTCAGACTGGGTATGATTCTATTGCAGTCAGTGGCTCTTGACTAAAATGTATATGGAAACTGAACACTCTCCCTTTTCTCTTCCTTCTCCTTCATGTCTCTGTTTTAGATAAGAAGGCTGACTGCACAATCACCATGGCTGACTCGGACTTACTGGCTTTAATGACTGGTAAAATGAATCCTCAGTCGGTGAGTTTGATGTATATCCTGTTACTAGGTGGATCTTTTAGCCCTTCCCATTCAACTTCCTTCCTGAAGTGCAAAGTGGTCAGACACACAAAACTCAGTGTTCTCCCAAATGTTCACCTAAAAATGGCAGGCACCTGTGGAATGAGCTATGTGCCAGACACCCTGTCCCATGTACTGGAAGAGTAGGAAATAGGTCCATGCTTAGGGTAAGCACAGTTTGGAACAAGACAGATCTTAAAAGATCAAATGTGGCAAAAGATCCTAGGTGCCATACTTGGCTTGAAGTCACTGGGGAGGGTGGAAGAAGGAGCAGCCACGTGTTCTAGCCATCAGGGTTTGCCTCACAGAGGAAACAATACGGAGTGGGCCCCCAACGTAACCAGAAGTTAGTAGTGCACAGTGGAGAGGAATTCACGCTCCCAATGGAGGGAGGATGTGCTGGGAACAGACATCTTTGCCCATGTTCTTTTTTTTCTCTGAACTTTCCTTCCCTGATGTCCTTCCCTTGTCTTTTGAAATTAGCTCAGATGTTATCTCCAAGGATTTACTTCCAGGTTGTTGGGGGGATATAGCAGTTCCTCTTCAAACCACTTACTGGGCTGTTAGCTTAGCACTTACCATAGTGCCTTAATGTGCCTGTCCCCATTAGATTGTGAGTTTCAGAGGACAAACCACATCTTATTGATCTTTGTGTTTCTAGAACTTAGCACAATGCCTGATGCTTTTAGGGTTTATAAACTATTGCTGGATTAAATTTTATTTGTCTAAAATGTATTTATAACTTATTCAGATCATCCTGGTCCCGAAATGATCTATTGTCTCCTTATACTCAGGTGGCACAGCATTCAATAGACAGGACAAGTGAACTTTCTGTCAACTTGATACATTGAAAAATAACAATAAAAAACTAAAACCTTTCTTTTAATTGCCTGAGCCTTATTCATTTCAGGTCCTGTTCCTGTTGTTCCCTGGTAATTCATAAGATTAACCCAAACAACCAACTCTGACTCCCACTTATATTCCTTTTTAAAACGCTTTTTAGAAAGAGATGTGCCTGTGTGCCATTTTAGCTGAATCTACACCATGGCATTGACATTTCTACCACAGAGCCTGCTCCAGAAACCTGGACGAAACAGAGGCCACCAGTATAGGAGCTGGCTGTCATCCTCCTTCCCAGCTGCTATTCCCAGTCTCATGGCACATACTGCCCACAGCCTTGGCAGGGTTCTCAAACTTCACACATCTGCTGTCCTCATTCCCTCAGTTTATCTATGTTCTGCCTATTTGGGGGGGGGGGGGAAGGTGTTAGCTTATTTTCATTCAACACCTGTTAGCACCCAGTGGAATTAAATATTAAAATGGCAGACATTTCTATTAATGTGCTAATGGCCTTCCCTTATGCTCAGTAGAGGATTTGACTGGAAATCATTAAATGCAATGGAAATTCTACTTTCAGTGTTTGGCTACAGTTGAAACAAAGCAATGTGCTCTCCAGTCTAAAAGCACACATGAAGAACACCTAGGGGCCAGATTAAAATAATCCTTATGTTTGGGTTTTCTAAAGAGAGAGATTCATGTTTTCTCTATTAGTTTAAAAAAATTATTTTTTAACTTAAAAAAGGAGAAGATGATGAGTTTCTCTTGGGCTGCTACTGGTCCATATTTCTAAATGACATATGTTAAATATATTGTGTCTGAGAGAACTGACCTTTAAATCATCAGACAGAAGGCTTTGTGCCATATAAAGAGGGAAATATTTAGTTTGTCCAGACAGAGGAGAAAAAAAAAAAAAAGGGAATTAGTCACCCTTACCGGGAGGTATAGAAAAAAAACAGCAAAGATCCTTACTTTTCAGTGTACTTGTGTAAAAGCTAAGATTATCAGAAACTTTTCTCATCTAGCTCTTCCTTACTTCAGGAATTGAGTTAAAAAACTGAGATCATGTCAAGGAAATCATGCTTCAGTCCCAATTTTGTTATTTCTCTAGAGTTTCCCCAGGATTTTGTTACATGGTAACATTGTGAACATTGTGTGATCTAATCCCAGGCCTTGTTAAATGGAACAGCTCACAGCCCCGCCCTTCAGAGTGGTCTAATCCCTCTCACTGAGCCAGAGAGTAACTTGAGCACCTACAGCAGAAAGCCTGTCCTCTTAAGGATGGAGAATCCATCCTTTATCAGGGATAGCAAAGAGCTGAGCAGTTGGTGGCATTTCATCTGCATGGTATTGAATCCCAAGAGTTTTCCAAATGTGTTTTGAGTGCTTCTTCTCCCAGCAGTTTACTGAGAATTTCAGTTTGTATTTCCAACCCATATGAGCCAGCACATATATAATGTTTTTAAATGAAATCCATCTAGTATGAATGTTCTTTGCCTAATATTGAGGGAAAAGTACCACCTTTGAGTAAGGCAGGTAAAGACAGATTCCGTTTCTAAAAGATGTTCCTTCCAGTGCTATAGGTAAAGCATGTCCTTTACATATTCTTCTTCCTGAGTATTCTGGTTCTATGTCTATTCCAGAAAAACAAGTGTTGTATTTTGAATAAAGTTATGTGATGTAGATACCAGATCTCAGGGATGGATAGTCTAGAAACATTAGCAATCTCAAAACAAAAACCAAAAATAAGTATTTTTTTGTCTTACAGGCCTTCTTTCAAGGCAAATTGAAAATCACTGGCAACATGGGGCTGGCAATGAAGTTACAAAATCTTCAACTTCAACCAGGCAAAGCTAAGCTGTGAAGAATTCCCTTTGGCAACTTTGGAAAATCGAGATGAGATATATAGATATATATCCACATATTTCATTGTCAGAACTTAGACTGAAACTACACATTGGCAAATAGCATGAGACAGATTTGTTAAATGGGTGTGTAACCAATTGTGTTTTTCCTATGCTCTTGGTAAACAGAGCCTGATGGTGTCCTACTGCTTTGAGGAATTGCATACAACTGTGCATGACAAAGTTAATATGGTAATTATGGTTTGGGGTAAATTAGTTTCAGAATAAAATTAGGAACAGTAAAAATCTAAAAACTATGCAAACAAAAGCTCTCATTTTGCTTAGAAGTTATATTTAAGGATTATTCTGCTGAAGATTCAGTGTAAGTTTTTCTTGGGAGAACTAGGGAAGAAACAGAATAGCAGAAGCTGACCAGTAATTAGTGTTATGCACTTAATGACCCGAATCAGTTTCTTACTAATAATTAAAATTCTGTACTGGGATTTCAAAACAAATCAAAACTTGTAAACTTTTGCATTTCATGACATCAGAAAAGATTTTTTTTTCTTCCCAAATAAAGTGATAAAATCAGAGCTTGTGTTGGAGGAGAGGGCATTTATAGCGAACACAGGCCTATTTTTAAAGTAAAAATATTTGTAAATGGGGTTCTTTCTTGAAAAATCAGGGTATTAGTGTCATAAAATGCTGTTGCTAAAAATAATTGAAAAAAGTTTAATTTTAGATGCATAGTTTTCAAATTATTATCTCATAATCATTTAAGTTTATAAAGCTCTCAGCTTTTTATTATATTTTTTCTTTTTCACATTTGGTTAATTATCTGCATTTATCTTCCTAGTTTTTCTAATTCTAATGTTATTTCTTACATCTAAGATACGGGATAAATATAATGCTTTTGGAAGAATGTTTAATAGAAAATTAAAATAACTCTTGCTGATCTCCTTTGTTTCATTGTGTATATTCTTTCTGCTCAGGGTTTTCTAAGTGATGGAGTATAAAAGAAACCTTGGGCTGGGGTTGTGACTCAGTGGTAGAGCACTCGCCTAGCACATTCGAGGCCCTAGGTTCAATTCTCAGCACCACATAAAAATAAATAAATAAAACAAAGGTATTGTGTTCAACTACAACTAAAAAATAAATATTTTTTTAAAAAAGAGAGAGAAACATTGGAGTTTACCAGCTGAATGCTTCTGGATAGTGCCTGCTGGGTGCTTTGACATGACGAGACCAGCTCTCGTTAGGGAGTTAGTGTGGGGTCATGGGAAGAGCACCAGACCAGGGCCAGGAAACTTGCTTCTCTTAAGTACACAGCTGCCAGACTATTTCCTAAACTATTCAAGGAAGGGATTTAAGTAAATGGTCCCTGAGGGTCCTTCTACTCTGATAATCCCAAGAGGCTATGCAGAGCATAACAGAGCTGTTTGGGAGTTATGCAGGCCCACTTTCTTTGTTACTTTAGCTATAAAAAACCCAGATTGTTTAATTTGTTTTAGATGTTTGGAGCCCTTGCTGGCATTCAGCTTTGTATGTTCTGTGACCAGCAGAATAGTATTTGGTGATAGGGCCAGAGGATAAATTAAGCCAATACAAGTTGATCCCAAGTCCCATAGAATAAATTCAGAAGTTGACTTCCTAATGATAGTGACTTCTTCCTCTGACAAAAAAAAAAAAAAATGACTTTAAGAAAGAAGTTCCAGTGAAATGATAAATCTACTGATTTGGATTTGCTGTATTATTCTGCCCTCACTGGTCCCTGAAAACAGGAGATGCCTGAAATAGACTTTAGGATGATCCTATTAAAAACAAAAACTGGTTCTTGGAATAGAAATGTATTTGTATATAAATGAAATTTATGTGTACAACAAGTACTTACTGGGAAAAAAAAAACTATCAGTTTTATTTTTTCCCTAGTGTTATGGTTTAGAGGTCAAGGTTAAAATTGTTTCTAGTTGTGTTGCCCGATCTGTACGAAAACAGTGCTGGTCCCTGACAGTCCTTCAGTAAACATGAGTTCCCTTCCATCCTCACCATTACCACCACCATTTGTTCCTGTGATAGGCTATTTGTAATGTTCTCTCGTTTCTGAAGTCTAGTTCTTTTCATTTGTTCATTTACCAAGTTTTATTGAGTGCCTATCATAGATAAGGTACTTTCTAGAAAGTAGAGTGTTGGGCACTGGAGATATTGGTAAATTCTTCCCTCACAATGCTTACAGTCCACTGGGAGAAAGAGTCAAACTGAAATGCCCTGCAGCAGGTGATCAGGGTGTGGTGATGGAGAATCACAGTGAAGGTCTTCTTTGATGATGTAATTAAGGGAGACATCTCTGAGGAAGTAATTTTTAAGCTGAGCTCTGAAGGTTAGGAAGGAGCAAACCATGCCAAGGATCTTGCATTAAAGGGTGGAAAGGAGCTTGGCTCATTCTTAAAATTGTAAGCGGCCATATATGCAAGCGAGAAGGACAGGCCCAAGGTAAGATCAGAAGGTACACAGGAGATAGTTATATTGGAATTTGTTCTTTATGGTAAGACTTTTGTGTTTCATTTTAGTGCAGTTGGAGTGGTTGAAGATACAGCTTTACATGTTTACTTTTCATGCTGCATGACTACCTTGCTATCTTATTCTCAGTCTGGAGCCCAGGCAAACAGAATAACCACTATCTAGAACATCATCTTGGCAGAGAAGAGAAATAGTGCTCTTAAAGCTTCCACTCAGAAGTGATACATATCACTTTTTCTCCCATTTCATTATTCAAAGAAAGTCATGTGCCCCATTTAACTTCTAAACCCTACCATGTGCCAGAAAGAAAGGATGGAGTTGGAATATTTGTGAATAGAACTGATGGCCACCAAAGCAGTGAATTGAAAGCAGGGGAGTGAGATGTCTCCAGCTATCCCCGTAGCTGCTGTGTAGAGAACATGTGGGGCTGAGGGTTGCAGAATGGATGTCCACATGCAAGAAGATGGCAGAGTACAGTAGGGTGTCAGTAGTGGAGATAGATGTGAAAAAGTAGGCAGAGGTAGAGCTGGCAGAACCTGGTAACTGGTCCTGTCTCTGCCTCTTGAAGCTAAGTCAGGACAAGACATTCAGGCCTCACCAGCCTTTAATTTCTTCCTCTGCAAAAGGGGGACCATTCATTTGGGGGTAGATATGTCTCATTAGACCATAAACACCTTGAATATAGAAACCATTATTCATCTCCGTGTGTCCAGTGTTAATGTAGTGGCCCATCAAGTTAAGGTCAATAGCTATTACTTAAACAAATTAGGGTTAGACAAAGACCATTAAAGTCCTCTATAGATTGTAAAATACCTATTAAAAGGTTCAGTCACTCATAAATATCCTTCCATTTTCCTCAATATTATTGTCACTTTAAGGAAAAAGAAACAGGAAATTAAAGCCTGTAGCTAGCATCTTTATCTTCTGAAATTTTAGTGGTTTTAGAAAGTATTACATTAAGAGCAGGCCTGGAATGGTGGGGAAACTTTGGGGTCCATCTGATGTGGGTTTTGTTTCTAGCTGTGGTACTTAGCTTTGTGACCTTGAGCTAATAATAAGTAAGGACTGGAAGCCTGTTTCTCACTGTATGAGATGGCAATAATAGTGCCAACCTGTGGTTGTAAGGATTAGCAATTATAGCTGTAAAATGTCAAGTACACAGTAGGTACTCAGTGGATGAGGCCTAGTATTATTTAAGAGATTTGTTTCACTTGAAGAAATTCACTGGTATACTCTGAAATAATCCTTTGGGACCAGATAATGGGCTGGCTTCAGGATGGAGAATAATTTATTTTTGTTGACTATCTGCATCTTTACAGTTGCCTCAAAAATCACTTAAAGTTAATAGCTTCTGTAACTAATTGAATGGGTATAGAATTATTTGGTATGACTTTCAGAAGGTTTTCATTTGGCCAAAAATTATAGTTCCAGAAGTCCATGCCATGATTGCTTGTTGAACACAAAGAAGTTGCTTGATGTTATTGACTAGAAAGGAAAGGTAACTGGCCAGATAGTACCTCCTAGTAAATTACTCTGTGGGGTTGAAGTTGTTTAGAGACAGCACTGACATGAATTAGGAATTTGTACTAAATGGCTCATGAGGGGCCTGAAGGGTTTACATGCTATCAGAAACAACAGCCAACTCTGGCCAAATTTTAGAGTTTTTCTCAATAGAGTGTTACAAAATCTTCTGGAAAGGGCCAACATTAGATCTATCTGGAGACTGCTGCAAACAAACAGTTCTTTAGTTCTTGGTAAGAACAGAGAATATTGGGCCAGATTTCTGGCCTTTAAGAAATGTGGAGTCTGATTCCATTTGGCTGTAACTTTAATCTGGTATGAAATTTTAGCCAGAGTTCTTGAAGAAATGTTTTTTCAAAAGTATATCCAAAACTTACTGCAAAAAGTGATGTCCATTTAGCCTATTATACTAATAGTCATTTAAATACTTTGTAAATATTCACAATACTGTTTTCAGCAACATGTAGTAAGCACTTGACCTTTTAGTTGCTGTATCTGTGGCCATAAACTTTTATGTAGAATTGGGGGAAATGGATGATAGCCTTTTATTTGTTTAAATTGTAGGCAGAGAAGCTGTTAGTACTAGTTTTCTAACCAACTACCCAACAACACTTAAATTTTCCACTGCAAGTTATTGTGTAATTTGCCTTTTGGAACATGGCACCTTCTGTACTGTGCAGACCTTTGTCTGTTCAAGAGGACAGAAATAAATAGGAAAGGGTTTTGGGCATGAAGACACAGTAGTGTGGGAGAATGATTGACTTAGGCAGGCTGAAAGAGGCTTAGGGTTGGCAAAATGATACCCAAGGGCAGGGTGTGATATCAGTTCACAAATATTTGAGAGATGGAAAGACCGAAAGAGGAGGAGGAACTTTTTTGCTTAGTTGTTAGAAGTAAAGGGAAAAATAGATAAATTTCAGACTGAAAATCAGTTGAACTTCCTGACAATAAAAATGGGTCATGAGTAGACTGGAAACTCCAGTCAGAGATGTTCCTAAACCCCACTGCAAACACTGAGAGCCTTTCATTTCAAGAGATGGACGGACATTAATAGTGGCTAAAAGATCATCTGAGTGGGAGGAAGTGCTATCTCATCGACAGCCACTTGAGGATTTCTCTTTTTGCTTTATCAAAATATTTGTTTGGTTTTTACTTGTTTATACCCTGACTTGTTCATAATTTACTTTGGAGCAATATTCAAAAGCTTTTACATTTTCATAATGTGAAAAAGGCTTGAGGTATGTTTCTGTTTTTTTTTTTTTTTGGGGGGGTGTTGGCTTGGTTTTGTCCTTTTTTGTAGTTGGTTTTTATTTGGCCTAACGTATTATAATCTTCAAGCCATAGAACCCTAGCTGAAGCATTGAAGACCATGCTCAATGGAGTTGGAATGTGAAGACAAGTTTGAACCCTGCCCCAAGCACTCACCAGCCAGGCCACCAAAGCAGGTTTTGAATCCTCCCTGAGCATGCTTCCTAAAATAAGGGGCAGGAATAGCACCAGGCTTAGAAGTCTGATGGTATTCACTTGGTTTCTGTGTTCTGGCTCTTTCTCAAAGGCTGAAGTGGAGATATTGCTACCCTGGGCTCCCATCTGGAGGCTGTGGAGGAAAACCTGCTCCTGTGCTTATTTGGGATGTGGGCAGAACTCAGTTCCATGCTCCAAAGGACTGAAGTCCCTGCAGGCAGCCTGAGAATGTTGCAGCTTCTAGAGCTGCCTCATTCCCTGGCTCATGGTCCCTTCATTAAAGCTAGTCAAGTATGTCTTAATTTCAAATTTCTCTGACCGACCATTCCTCTTCAGCTCTCCTACCTCCAGCCACAGACATGCCTCTGTTTTTAATAGCTCACATGATTAGACTAGGCAAATCTGGAAAATCCATGACAAACTCCCTATTTTCAGGTCCATAACCTTGGATTGGTAGAATGCTTGCTTAGCATGTCTGAGACCCTTGGTTTGATGCTTAGCACTAGGGAGGGGGCTCTGTAGTCTTTAATTATAGCTCCTAAGTCCTTGGTGTCATGTAACATATTCCCAGATTCTAGAATTAAGTTGTGGACATCTTAGGGGGCATCTTGTGATCTACCTATCACAATGATGTTTTTTAGGCTAGAAAGGAGACCCCACATGAAATGAGGTTCTTGCCCTGGAAGGCTCATAACCCAGTGGAACAAAGTTGAAAAATATAATAATATGGCAAGAAAAGTTCAATAATGAAGAGTCTTCATAAGATGTTGTCAGAGTCCAGAGACTTTGTGTACCTGATGGCACAAAGTGGCTTTTCCATCATTCTCTGCTTGTTCCTTGGTGAGTCTTATCAAGATCCTTCAGATGGAATCATACACCCCAAATGACACCATGTGATTTCATGAAGCCGCTGCTGTAGCTCTCAGTATTAATAAGGAAAGGTCTTGGGCCCTCAGCTCAAGGTGAGACAAGTAATCTTCTCTGATGATGAAATATAACAGCTCATTGCTCCTTTCTCCCTTTTCTTCATCAGACCCTCTTGAGAGCTTTCCTGTTCTTCGGCCCCAGTTATCTCTACAGTGTCTGTCTTTCCTCCCTTCTGAGTGTTCTTTGTTTCTGTTTTGTTAGAAAGCCCTTGTCCCAGGTAGTGGCAAAGTTCTGTTTGATTCTTACTACTTAACATTACTGTTTTAGTATCTCCTGAATGCTTGTTAGGTGTGGATGATAGTTATGTAATTATTACAGCTGCCATTTATAGAATACTTATCATGTACCAGGTGCTTTACAGAATCCCATACTTGCAACATCCCATTTAATGTAGACATTCTGTGATGTGTAGGTACTATTTTTATTTTCATTTGAACCCAGGTCTACATTCAAGGCTTGCATGATACTATGTGCCATTGTAATATCAAAAAGGACCTGAAATTGGGGAGCAGCATGAAGGAGTTGAAGTAGCAGGTAGAGTAGGAAACCCAAATTTCAAACTCAACTGTCTTTACAACTTATTTATTTATTTATTTTTGGACCAGGGATTGAACCCAGGGGCACTTAGCCATTGAGACACATCCCGAGCCCTTTCTCTCTCTCTCTCTCTCTCTCTCTCTGTGTGTGTGTGTGTGTGTGTGTATTTTTAAATTTTGAGACAGAATGGCAGTTATCAAGAATGCAAGCAATAATAAGGATGTGGGGGAAAAGGTATCCTCATATATTGTTGATAGGATTGCAAATTGGTGTAATCACGTTGGAAAGCAGTATGGAGATGCCTCAGAAAACTCAGAATGGAACCACCGTTTGACTCAGCTATCCCACTCCTCGTTCTATACCCAAAGGACTTAAAATCAACACACTATAGTGAGGCAGCCATATCAATGTTCATAGCAGCACAATTCACAATAATTAACTGTGGAACAACCTAGATGTCCATCAATAGATGAATGGATAAAGAAACTATGGTATCAAAGGTCTTAAAAACAGCATACTACAGGGACACAGCCACATCAATGTTTATTGCAGCACAATTCACAATAGCTAAACTGAGGAACCAACCTAGATGCCCTTCAGTAGATGAACAGATAAAGAAAATGTGGTATATATATACACAATGGAATATTATTCAGCAGTAAAAGAGAATAAAATCATGGTATTTGCAGGTAAATGGATGGAGTTGGAGAATATAATGCTAAATGAAGTTAGCCAATTCCAAAAAAAACAAATGCCAAATGTTTTCTCTGATATAAGGAGGCTGATTCATAGTGGGGTAGGGAGGGGGAGCATGGGAAGATTAGATGAACTCTAGATGGGGCAAAGGGGAGAGAGGGGAAAAGAGGGAGCAAGGGGATAAAAAAAGAAGGTGGAATGAGATGGACATCATTACCCTAAGCACATGTATGAAGACACAAATGGTGTGAATATACTTTATATACAACCAGAGATATGAAAAATATGCTCTATATGTGTAGTGTGAATTGTAATGTGTTCTGCTATCATATATAACAAATTAGAATTTTTTTTAAAAAAATAAAATAGTACTCAGCATTGAAAGAGAATAAAACCATGGCATTTTCAGGTACATGGATAGAGTTGGAGAATATCATGCTAAGCAAAGTAAGCCAAACCCAAAAAACAAAAGGCCGAATGTTTTCTCTGATTCGTGGATGGTGATCCATAATGGGGGAGGGGCAGAATGGAGCAACTTTGGATTGGGTAAAAGGGAGGGTGGGGAGGGGAGGGGGCATGGGTCAGGAAAGATGGTGGAATGAGACAGCCATCATTACCGTAGGTACATATATGATTGCATGAATGGTGCAACTCTGCATAATGTACAACCAGAGAACTGAGATATTGTGCTCTATTTATGTACAACAAATTGAAATGGATTCTCCTGTCATGTATAACTAAGTAGAACCAAAACAAAACAAAACAAAAATTTGAGGCAGGGTCTTGCTACATTGTTCAAGGCCTCACTAAGATTCTGAGGCTGGCTTCGAACTTGTGATCTTCCTGCTTCAGACTTCTGATCTGCTGGGATCTTTACAACTCTTCTAAAAGCTAGAAGACTTGTTTCTGGAGCACCAGGATTGCCTCCATTTTCCCACCAGAGACCCTCAAAGGGTCTGTGCCTCAGACAAATGATTGTGTCCATAGCATCAGGCAGCCATAAAGCATGCATGGACATTGGCTTGGCAGTGCCTTTTTCAGTCAGTGGGTGATGGAGAACAGTGAGTGGTGTGCCAAGGGGCTGGCCCTGGCAATTACAAATGTAGAGCCTACTTTCCCCTGGGTTGGGATGACAGGATACTTAAGATTTAGGACAGTGCCTGTGGGCACTCAGTATATGCTGGCTCTCACTGTCCTAGATTTTAGTTCATGGATATTCAAGCTAATAGAATCCTGTTCTTTTAGCTGCACATGAATCTAGGCTCATTGTTCAGAAGACACCAGATGTATCTCTCTGATGGCCCCAGTCCAATCCTGTGAGTCACACCAACTCCTAAGTTTGGACCCAGAGATGACTGGAACTTGAGGCCAAAGAAGGCAAAGTATTTCCTTTTCCCATTCTGCTAAGTTCTTGAGTTAGTGGTGTAATGGAAACAGACAGCTGTGGGTTCAAATCCAGGCTCTACACTTGCCTCTCATGTGTCTGTTTCCACCCGGAGAGGGCAGTGAAGAGGGGTAGATTTGGGCTCTTCTCCAGTTCTGCCAGTTAATGGTCTTTTTACTCTGCCACTCACCCGTTTGGAAGGATGCCGCAGATGGTGGTCTTCATAAGCTTGTGAAAAACGGAGTGATGCACTTAATGCACGGGGTGTATAAACAGGATGTCCTGGTGGGCAGCGGCAGGAGTGAAAGGTCTGGAGCATCTTTACATGAGCTATTCATTTTTCAGGGCCTACGAAATTTAGGTGAATAAATGGTCCCACGATTGACTTATTTATCCAAGCGCCAAATGAAGCAGCTATAGGTGCCCTGCCTGTGGGCCAGAGTAGGTATGAGGGAGAGGCTTGTTCCGCAGCAGAGGTGCCAAGTACCACCTCAACCAGCCCCACTGCCCTCCACCACCGAAGTCCCTGGCTCCAACAGTGTTGCTTCAGCTGCTAGTAGTTAATGCTCCTTTACTTGGAAACGTTTTCGAGCTCCTGGGAGCAATGTGATGCCGCGAGGGCTCACTGTTCACCACCCGCCCGCCTTGTCTTCTTGCTGCGACCGGGATCTGCAGGCATCCTATTCCCAGCCCAATTTACCGTCTTTCAAGGTTCACCAGGTTGTGGGCCCAGGATCATTGGAGGATGGGGGCGGCGGATGGGGTAGAGAGCTGGGAACTTTTCCGGGAAGGGGCCCAGCAGGATCTTGGTTGGCGGCCGCGTTAGCCACGGCCGGAGACCCCAGGATAGGAGAGTGAATGGAAAGGTAGTCATGCCTGGAGTGGTCGCAAATCCTCCGTCATGAGGAAGAAGCTGCGATGGGAGCCCCTGAGTGGAAGGAGCCCTGTCCCCCGCCCTACTTTCAGGTGCGAGGGCCTAAAGAGGGTCGAGTTCCAAGGTGGAAGGCTGGGAACTAGGAAGCGTTGCGGGCTAGACACCCCGCCTTCCCGGTCTGGGGGGGCGTGGTGCGGCGGCCCGCGGGGCGGAGGGGACGGTGAGGCGGCTCTGCCTCCCCGGGAAGTAAGGCCCCGCCAAGCACAGCGCCGGAGGGTGCAGGCCCTCCCCTCCCGCGCCCGGGGGGACCCTACGCCTGTGTCCAGAGGAGGCCGGCGTCCAGCTGATGCACGCGGGGTGGGGGCGGGGAGAGGCGGGGAGAAGAAAACTCACAACAAAACTTGCGTCGCGGCGCGCACGGCTCGACTTGAATGGAAGGAGCCCGCGTCCGCGGAGCGCAGCCGAGACACGGGAGAGAGTGTTCAGCCGGCGGGACGCGGCACCGCGCGGGGCGCAGCAGGTACCAGGCGCCGGCAGCCGGGTGGGCCAGGGGCCGGGGGTCGAGACTGGGCAGCAGACGCAGACTTCCCTTCCTTCTCCCGACACCTCAACAGCTGCCTGGGGCAGAGCCGCCGCACTCGCCCCCC